TATATATATATATATATATATATATATATATATACTTGATTCAACATTTTTTATTGATCCATCTCATCTCGTAGTTCAACAAGATTAGGAGGTTCTTAGCTAATTTTGGCAACAAATAAAAACTTCAACAATAGTCGTGTTCCTACCATAAGTTCGTTGTCATCGTTAAGGTCACCGCATCCGAGGTATTGTCCGCTTTGACTCGTTGAGTCGTCACGATTTTGTCCTTTAAAAGGCGCCTCAATGGGTTAAGGAGGGAGGGTGTTTATAAACTACCCTTAACCTCGACTCCTGAGCAATATGGAACTTTTTAGGCATACCGGAACAAGTAGTATTAACGAAACTCCAAAATGAATTAGGGACTCAACCACTTTTACTAAAAACACTCTTAGATGAGACAATAGATATTGATATAGTTAAAGTGTCTTTAGTTATGTAAGAAAAAACATACTACTTCACTGATGTCACTTTCCACCACTTTAAAATGTCAAATTTTAGGGGTGTTCATTGGTTCAAATCAATTAAATTGGTTCAATTTTTTTTCTTCCAAATTGGGTTAGACCTAAACCAATTGAGGCTCAATATTGATTGGTTCGAGTCGCATTCACACATTTGACGCTTGAACAAACCAACTATTTTTATATTATTTTTATTTTTATTGTTTTCATTGGTTAACACTTAACATAAGTAAATATTGTTCATTTCATTTTGAAGACTTTTTGTGTTTCAATTTTGGTCTTTAATGTTCAAAGTGTAACACCCTAGGATTTTTCTAATAATTAATTCGGAAGATACTGATGATTTCATTTTATTTTATGACTATCGATTTTTATTTTATTTATTTTATTTTAATAGATTTAATTATTTAGAGGAGAATTAGATATGATTAAAAATAGAGGGGTTTAGAGAAATATGGGTTATATATATTAGAAGAGAAGGGAGATAGGATTATTTTTTATTCATCTTCACTTTTTTGACGCTCAAGTGTTCTAAAGAGGATGTATTTAGAGAACAAGGAGAAGGAATCATCGGAGAGCAGCTAGAGGTGTAGATCTGATATTTTGTATCACTCTAGGTAAGGGGGAGTGAGAACACTCATTTCTAGGGATTAGGTGTATGGATGAAAGGTAGAGAGATTGACCCCTAATCCCATAAGTTTTCTATTTGATGAGATGTTGTGTGTGTTTGATGTAATTTGTCGAGTAGAATCCAAATATGTAATTTATTTGGCGATTAGATGTTTTTAGAGTAATTAATTGAGTGCTCTGTAGAAAGAGGTTAGAACCTTAGAAGGATTGACCCCAATTCCATAAGTTTTCTATTTTATGAGATATTGTGTGTGTTTGATGTAATTTGTCGAGTGGATTTCAAATATGTAATTTATTTGATGATCAAATGTTTTTAGAGTAATTAATTGAGTACTCTGTAAAAAGGGGATTAGAGCTCTAAGGAGAGAAATTTGATGAATTTAAGGGATAAGAGTTGTAGATGCTGAAATTGGTGAATTTCCTATATGTAAAATGAGTTCTAAGTATTTATAATTTGTATGATTGATTTGGGTGATGTTTGCTTCAAGATTTTGTTCTATAATTGATATGTTTGGGTCATGGAATGCACGTGGTGCCGGGCTCAAGTGCTTAATGTTGGGCATGCCTTCATATGTATGAAGGCACTACCCACATGTGATGGTATCGGGTGTGGAAATGTCCATGTCGGGCGCGGGAGGCTTTGGTTGCTCTCTGCCTCGGCTTAAAGCCGAGCGCGACTTTGGGAAGCCGAGCATGAGAGAGGTTAGGTGCTCTCTACCTTAGCTTAAAGTAGGGCATGGGTTTCCAAGCCCGACGTCGATTGTT